CTGGTACTGAAATGATCTTCAGTGATAGTGAGCTTAAATGATCTACATAAAGGCTAGTTAACTCCTTTTGTATGTATTTTAAGCTATTTAAGACCTGGTTTTCCTGAAGAAATACACATATTCAAGACAAAATTGAATAAAGATTCCTTAAGATTCTCTGCCACTACTATGTCTTTTTCTAGATCTCTATTAATAATGCTGGTTGTTACTGACACTTGCACGAAAATGTTAATAAAACTACCAAAACCTGCTCCAGAAGTATTTATTAGAGAGTCGATAGTTTAGCATGATTTATCTGAGGTAGGAGATGACCTTGTTACATGTCTGTATATGAAAATTAAAAAAATCCTGCATATATTATATTCTGTAGCTTCTGGATGTTAAGTAGTGTTTGATCCTACAAATCCCTTGCACACGCACCTGACTTAAAGGTGACTTGCATCTCCAGGTGTCTGGTGGGGCTGAGTCCTCAAGGCATGTTTGGTTATTTGTTGTTTACTAACAAGTGTAGATATAAGCCTTCATAAGAAGGACCAGTGATAGGGACTTTAGGTACTGATTTCACAAGATAAATAAGCATACAAACACTAGGGAGATAAAAAAAAAGGTTTTCTTCCCTGAATAAATCTACAAGTAGCAACAACAAAAAAATCTTTTGGTTTAACAGAAGGTAAACTGCCGTGTTAAAGATAGTAATTTTCAACTGTAAGGGAATGTTAACATTACAACCAGGGAAGCTGGTTTCATTTTCTCCTTCAAAGCCAAAATCAAATGGAGCAGCCTAGCAAAGAGGTCCTGTGACAAGAAAACAAACATTACTTCTAAGAGTGGCTTGTTCTGGGTGATGTTAGTCATGTGTGCGGTAGAACAAATTGCTAATCAAAAAGTTATGGGAATAAAACACAGTTATTAGACCAACTGGCTTAAGTTTCTAAGAGGGTATTTTAAAGAAATAGTTTATTCACAGAAAAGTAACTGGTTCACTGTGCTGCATTCACATAGGTGGGAGAAACATTAGGGAGGTGCAAAGAGAGACAGTTATGCCTTATTGCTTGTCCTTTAGTTCACGCTGCAGTTGATGTGAACTTTGCATCTCCGATCACTTCCAGCTTACTTCTAACACAAGACCGAAACTAACAGCTCCAAGGAGCTAATATCAGTCAAACAACCCATCCAATGTGTTTATAGTGTCACACTGAGAAAACTGCGAACTTTTGGAGTTACCACTGAAAGCCCTTGGAAGTTACAATTCTCAATTCATCCACCCTCCTCGGGAAGAAACCACACTGAAAGTTACTACTGTATGTTCACTGTGCCTTCCTTGGACACCGTGCACAACTCTGCTAATTGAGCAACAGACTTACAGTGTTCTAATGATTTATTTTCATGGCCCAAACGAAACTTCTCAGCACTTGCAAGTATGGGACTTTGGCTACTAAAGGTGTCAGAATGAAAGACATTCACTTGTTACTAGGACTCTATTCTTACCATGATGGAGACCATTCTTCTGGTACATGTTACTTGGTAACGTATCTCTATTCCACTCAGATGGCCTCAGCATTCTTTCTTGTTGCGATGGTGTTAGTTGCTCGCTGTACTCCCAGAAGTATCTTCGCTTGCCTCTTTTCCGAGAGGATATTGCAGTCATTTCTTTTAAATCCTCCACAGAATCATTTTCATACCCTAAAAGGATTCATTGCATTGTTTATATAATGTTGACAAAACTGTTTCTAGCCCTTTAATGGTGGACCGCATATTCAAGTTAAGAGCAAAACCACAGACGAGGCCTGTTTTACATTATCTAATAGACTTCGTCTTCAGCGTCAACTACAACTGGATACTTGCCTTAAATCCAGGGATAGACATTGAGCCAGTGATGGTGCTTCATTAGTTGAATAGAGACAAATTATTTATGCACTGAAAGCCCCTTTATGTTCTCTGACCCCTTAAGCTCTATTGCTCTTTTGCTCTTCTCCCCTGCAATCCCGCCACTGCAAATTACAGAACACAGCTGTTGGAGAGTATTCTTCCATCCTTACAATTTTCTCCATGAATTTGCAGGAACATAATCCTAACTCACCTCCACATTTTAATTAATTTCTAATCAAAAAGCATGGAAAGAGAAGCAGATAATAAAGATGGATTAGCAAAAGACTAATGAAGAAAGCAAAATTATTCAATCATAGAATATTCTGAGTTGGAAGGGACTCATTAGGATCAGAGAGTCCAACTCTTCCGTGAGTTTGAATACCTTTGGGAAATAAATCAAACCACCCATCTCTATTAGGCTAGAGGAAGACTAGAGGAAGGGGGCTGTGTTATCAGGAAAATGACCTAAAGTCCGTAAGAAAAGACCATCTAAATTCAGGGGATCTGGACACAAGCTGTTCAACCTCCTCCTCACCTCTTCAATGAGATGAAGAGAAATGATCCACAGTAAAGTTACACAATACTTTAGAGGTATATTATGATGCATTTGGTATGATGAACTGTGAGTGAAGTACATGGAAACTATAATGCCACTATCCACATTGCATAAATTTTTATACCATAATTACGTAAACACAAACCACAGGTTTTGAAATCCTACATATACTTTAGAAAATAAAGACAACCTATACTAAGGTTAAAAACCCCAAACCATTGCATTGCCTTTTGTACTAAAATACTATATAATAGTTTACATTTACTTAAAAAAAAGAATGCATTTCAAAACGTTACATACACTGATGGAGCTTAAAGAAAAGTCAACCACTGAACGGACTGTAAGCTTAACAAGCCTTGACCCCATCTGCTTGAGCTCTGCTTCATCTTTTAACAGTAGCACAAAGAACACTTTCTTCTTTTTAAAACAGTCCATTCAATTAGTCTGTTTGCACTTGAAAAACCAGTTGAAAGAGGAAAACCAAACTTTCTTGCTTTGGTCTGACTCTCACCTCATAACCCAAAGTATGAATAAAAGGTGCGCAGAAGGATTAAGTCAGTTCCAAAGTTCTATTTCTAATCATTTCATCAACTCTTTTCCTTCGATTCTCTAGTTTATTAAAAAGACTATTTTAAAAGCAAATCAAACATTGAAATCTGCTTTATAAAACATTTTTTCTTGTACAGCCAAAATGATTATGACAAGTTACATTAAATAGTTTCAAATACCATATTTTAACTGTACTTCCATTTTATCCAAATGCTGTTTAAGTATCAAAGCAGTCCTAAAAACCCCACTTACTTTCCACTTGAAAAAACAAGTCAAGCTATGTGACTCATATATAGATATGTATAAATTTAGCCCATCTTCACGATAACACAGAATTAAGGCAACCGATGAAAACAAATCTCTTTAAGAGCTGAAGTGTACAAATGTAAAACAAGGTTAAAATCAGGACTTCCTGTTTGCTTATTTAAACCATAATTAAGTTAGCAATTTAAATTACGTTGACTTAATGCATCCTGCTTTGCAACTCTAACATGGACCTGCTATAATTTTAAAGTTACGTAGAATAATCTAGTGCACAATGTCCTAACCTACTCCATAACATACAGGAGTGCAAGGAATCTGTTTAGCTTTTCTGCACTGTATTCATCTTGCTTGAATTCTCCTCTTAGCAAAGACCATGTAGCAGTCTCACTTTCTTTGGCGAGCTTCTAAGAAATCTGAAAGGGTTCTTGTATTTACCTTTCAAGCCCTTCGCAAGTCCTTCCTAAAAATGATTGTTCACATTCCTTACTATGGTTTTAGGTTTAAATTCACCAGGGTTAAATTACGTAAAACAGAGAACAGGATAGACACAACTTCTGCATCTTACCAGACTAAAAGCAAAAATAGCCCCACCAAAACATAACCAGAAAAAGCCTTTTTTTAACCATTTAATCATACTGACTTCTGTCAAAACATTTATGAGTCTTTTTTTCCCCCAGCTGGTGATCCAGGTGCTCAGAATAGATGCAATGCAACTTCTTTAAACAATCTCCGTGTCTCTACAAGCACTTTTCCCTTTCAGCTATTTCTTCTCCAGTGCCACTGAAAACTGAACCAGTTGTTGCATCTCCAATTTGCGGAATCTCTTGACTACTTGATGGGAGAGAAGCAATCATTTGCAAATATTTCTATTAAATGAGATAGGCAAAATATACTAGTAATGGCAAAAAAACCCCGTTTAAGTGCTAGAAAAGACCTGGGCTGATAACTCCCATAATAAATTACCTTTGCAGGTGACGAAAATTGTTAAATCTCTATGATGAGTATAATAAAAAAATTGTTGCTCAAACCTGCCAAACAGCCAGTCATGTTTTTAGTTCCTGAAATTCACTATATCTAAATATTTCCCAAGACAACAGTAATGCTTTAAGAAAGCACTTCATGCACTCCAAAAACATACATGAAGAAGAATAAGCAAAGGCAAACTGTGTATAAAATACATCAGAGGGTCAGCAATAACTATTAAGTTTTTGTCTTTTCAGTAAATTACATCTTCACTCTAAATTTATCAACTGATTTTGGTTTCAGTGCTATGGAAGGTTAAATCTTTCTGTGCCATGCTTATTTTTAGAAACTTTATACATAGTATATACCTTTACTCTCAAGGTAAAAAAGCAACACAAAGTACAAGAGTGACATAATTAAAATACCTGGAGACATTACCTTCTAATAGAATCAAAACGTATGGTGAAACTTTTAATATCACCACACTCAAGGTGAACGGATTCATTCACTTAAAGTTCGAGCAAGCTTGTACAAGCCAAGTTCCTCAGTTACTATACTGTATAATGTAGTTGTATTTAGAAGGCAAGAGCGATTGCTTGTCAGTAAAATTTGAACAAACAGCAAATAGTTAATGGAATGCCACCGAGTGAAATCCCAGCATTTTAATACATCTCCTCTTCAAGGTTCCCAGCCTTTCTGTGCAACGTGCCTCCGTGGGCTGCAAAGCACTGTGCAGTACAGCAATCATTACAGAGCTGTAATAGCTACTCAAAGCCACGGAAAGTAGAGGGAGTTCAATTCAGAAGAAGGAAGGAAGAGGTTTTAAAACGCTAACAAAAATGTGTTATGTATATGTAAAAGTAACATAAAGGGCATAATGCTTAACAAGTTTAATGCCAACTCAGGAAATCTACTTAGAAAATAATTTAATCTGAGAGTTCATTATGACAAACACTGACAAGCTTTAGGGAAGCTGCTGTTTTCAAAAAGGCAAAATCTCAGCTGCTTTCCCCCCAAAGTTATATATTGCCAAATGTCAGAATACCTTAACTCTTATACTCTACTACAAAGCATTTATAAAATGTGAATATTATAATACTTTCTACAATGAAACTAATACTTGGTTGCAGTCCTATGCCTTTTCCTTCAGATTTTATTTTTGCACAACGTTACCGCTTTGTTACCTTCTAGGTGAAGGTTAGTTCTTATTTCTGTTGTTAAGGCTCCATTTCTACATGCAGAAGAGAAGAATTCAGTATCCAATGAAGACCCACTAAGTGTTACCGCTGAAAACCACCAAGAAACAGTTCTATTAGTTTCAGTGGTAGGTATTTTCTTTGGATTCTGTGGAAAATTGTACCTATAGTACAGTTTAAGTAATTATGAAATTACTTCACTCAGGCTATGATTTCATACCAGCTGTCAAGAGATACAACTCTGGATAAATTCAAAGCAGCAACCTACTGAAGCACTAGAGAGCTCTGCACATCCTATCATCAAGCCACGAAAAAAGAAGACAACAATTGCAGGGAGTTGCTCTATAACCTTAGGCTACAAGACAGGTTTCCTGTATTCTCTATTATTTTATTTGTTGCACTGCCACAGTTTATGCAGGGGCATAAAAATGGCAATAGTGATCTTGTATACTTTTCACTAATTAGATTTTGCCAAGCACTTAAAAAACCTAGGATGAAAGTTCGTAATTTAAGATCAGCATTGCTCACTTGGCAGACAAATCCATTAACCTCCATGCTAAGAAAGCCCAACATTGCTGGTACCTGGTTCTGAGAAAGTATCGCTGATGTCGTCGTCTTTATCATCCTCATAATCTTCCTCCTCATCATCATTTTCAGACAGCTCGTGCTCACTGCCGAATCCTTCATCATGGTCCTCATCTTCAATATCATCCTCATCATCCTCATCTTCCTCAGGGTCTCCTTTGGCTGACTGTTCACCCAAACTGTCTGTTACAAAAAGAGAATAGTTGTGCTCTTCTTTCTTCTGTGAAGAATCTGACACTGATGTGCTGGCAGAAAGACTGCTCTCCCCCACCATAAGCCCTGGGGTTTCCTGGGGTGGACTGAGGAGCAGTTCTTGAGTCTCTTTAAAAGGCATAACAGGAGGCGTACTGTGACTATGCGGGGACTCTATTCCTTTTCTTTCTTGTCTCTTTGCTACAGCACCACAATAGCAGGTGTTTTCCTTTGCTGCATCAGCATGTGTCTGACTCAGCACTGGTCTGCTCTGTGGTAAAGGATTGATCTTTACTTTTGCCTTCTTAACATAGTCTTTACATTCAACATGAATGTTCACCTTTTCATTATTGTACACATTGGTCTTCACCATGATTTGTGTACTGGAAGCAGGCTGAGTTGCAGGTTTGCTTGCCTTCTGAACACAGTCCGACAAAGGTGCCTCAGCCTGAACGTTCTTGGAGGAACAGACTGGGGCTGCTGCTCTGGTTGCAATTTTTTTGCCAGGTAACAAAGAATTTAAAGGGTTTTGTTTTACACTAAAGAGCAAATCAGGATAGAGCGAATCAGAAACAGGCTGGGAGTCCTCACTGTTAAGCTGAGCCAGTGTCGGTGTTTTGCTTATCACCTCTTCATCCTGGTATGGGCTTGAAAAGTCATCAAGGCCCAGATAATCCACCTCTTTTGTTCCCCAAATGTCACAGCTGGTTAATTTAGTGTACTTTGTTAAGTCTTCACAGTAGGTGTCCCACTGCTCCCACTTTGAGGTGAGAGCAGCTTCTTTGTCCAGGATGTCCGTAAAAGACTCCAAGTTCTCAAGGTCTTTGCAGTCCTCCATTGAAAGTAAGTTGTCTCTGGAGCTTTGCTGATAGTCCATTTCTCTGTCCTGTGCGTAAGACAAATTAAAAGTTAATACAAAAAAAAGTATCAATCATCTCTGTCTTCTACTTAATCTAGAATGGTGAGCTTAATTCCAGAAGTCTAAGACAGTGATAACACATGAAGATACCTCAACTTCCAACTAAAAGCTTCTTTTGAGGGTCAGAAAGTCCAGCTTCCGTGCTTCAGCAGCAGATCCTTCTGAAGAGATTTCTAAAGACACAAGTCAAATGCTGCTGGATTCTTTCTCTGCTATTGCAAATTCATCTGGTCATCAGGAACTAGACTAGTATCAACATCCGTGTATTTAAAATATGAAAGACATCACAGTCAAGCTGTTCTAGTCTCTGTTAACCAAGGTCAATCTTTGCTGTGTGCTTAATAGAATACGCTCAAGTTTACCAGTCCCTGGAAAACCTCATTCTAACATGACCAATTAACGACTATGAGCTACCTTTATGCTTTGATGCAGATGAAAAAAAAAAAGGAATGCTAGTATAAGTAGCTCATGAGTCAACTTTTATTTTGCTTCCCCTGCATTCACAGCTTGGGTTAAGTAGCATATAGCTGCTCTTGCAGAAAAGATTGTAAGGAAGAGTCTCAAGCACCATTACATAACGTCAACACAGCTCTATTTGACACTTGCATATCAAGCCTCTGATGGCCAGCTTTAACAAGCGTCTATTGAGGAAGCATCACATTTGCTGGACAAGCAGTTAGGCTGTTCCCTAATCAGTAGCTAGCAGTAATGAATAATCTTCTAGCATTCTTGAACAAGTACCCCTTTATTACTACACAAACTCAAGGTATTAGTCAAGGAAAGGAAGTTACATACACATGCAGAAAGATGACCTACCAGTTCATACATGAAGTCTGGATCTGAACTGCTTGCCAAGAGATCCGTGCTCATCAGAGTCTGCTCTGAAAACACATGGCTCCGAAAGGCGTCCCCAAAAGGAGGGTCCATTCCACTCACACTGGGCTACAACAAAATTGATACTAATGTTTGAAGCATGCTATAAAAAGGCATATTATTTTCTTCAAAAAACATAAATAATATTGCCATTTCATCCAAGTCTCTAAACTTGCGCTATACTTGCATCTGGAAGGTTTTTACCTACACAGATAAGCATGTAATTTCTCAGAGTGAGAGAATGCTTTAAGAGCAGCTAACAGCATGCAGCTCTTTAATCGAAGGACACATTTGTATTCATCATATAGCTGCAAGAGCATTGCTCATTCATTCTTTTTTGTTGGTTTGAAATTCTCATGCGTTTGCCAAGTTTAGGGATATGTTAGCATTTGTAGAAGAGAGCGAGTACTGGCAAGATCTGTGAGTATCAATAGGCACTACACGCTTGCAGGGCCTTCACCCTAATACAAACCATTTTGTACTAAAGCAGTGTTCACTGGTTTTAGAACCATTAGAACTCATTAATCTTCCACCTGATATTGTAACAAATGCAAACTTTATTACAACTAAATCAAGAGTGTTATATCTCTTGAGAACAAAGTGGAACTTTGCAAAAAAACATTATGCAGGATGACTGGGCATGCAGGGAAGGGGCAGCAAGGCTTTCTGCTACATTTAATTCCAGACCTCTATTTCTCTTCTAGACACACTCGCCCTGAGGGTTGGGAAGGGAGAAACACTGTACTGCTGAAAGTCATTCAGTGTGCTGATGTGTGAATCACTGCAGTAATAAAAGGCTGCTCTCCAGGCATCCACCCTCCTCAAGACCACAACTTTGCTGAATCTTGATCTGTGAACCAGCACAGTACTAAAAGCAGCAATCCAGCTTCCACCATAGACACTACTGGGACCCTAAAAATATATACACCATTTAATCTCTTACAAATTCTCCCTGCTAATGCCAGTCAAAATTACTCTTAAACTTCCTTTTTTTTTAAAAAAAAAAAAAAAGGAAGCAAAATTATTTACAGAAGCAAATAAAATCACGACAGACTTACCTGAGGCATTTCCAAGCCCAGATTCCCCAAATCTAATTCCAAACTTCTTGTTTTAGTCACGTGTAGATTCCTTTCCAGCTTTACTTCAGTCTCAGTGAGTTTACACAATCCATGCAATGAAATTTTTCCTTAAGATAACTTCAGTTCACCCTGATGGAGCTCTTCTGTTTGTAGACTTCTGTGTAGAATAAATGCAGCAAAACCCCAAGAAGGTAAGTAATCCTTCACCAAAAAGGTAATGCTTAAAAAACAGCCAAAGTGAAGCAAAGACAAAAATTCCCCTGAAAAGTGATTATTTCTCATGCTGGAATGTATAATAATTCTTTTTTCCCACCAGCTTTCATCGAATGAAAAGCCACAGATGCTACAGAAGAGAGTCCCTGCAAAAACTTTTTTGGCTGAGTTACATTTTGTTGCCTTTTTTCCTCACTACCGAGACCATGATCTCTGTGAAAAGAAAAGCCTGCCTAATTGGAAATAATGACTAGCATACTGCTGGGTATTACAAGAGCGAAACATCTTTATGACTAATATAACAGAGCCAATAAATTCTAAAAAAGTCTCAGGCAAATGTCTCAAAATACTAATTTCAGAATAGACAGTACTACTGTTTCGGCAGTATCTCCTCCTTTTCTTAAGAGATTAATCCATTCAGCATCAGACAAGATTATATCAATTACTCATACAGCAACATCTAGTGGCAGAGGGATTACAGCAAGCATGCTCACCGTCCAGCAGTAGGGGAAGGGAAGAGACAGACTTCCTCAACAAAACAAATTAAAAAGTGTGCCAAATTCAGAGTTGTCTAATAAATGGTCTTCTCTATTAATTTCAAGTAAGGCACATGTTGAAATTGGTCTAATTTATCAATTAGTCATTTTACCAGTTTAGTAGTTTCTCTAGACCTGCTGCTACTTCAGATATATATCTAAAGACTTTTAACATGAGGAAAAACTGAACTGTAGAAAATCAAGCACCTTAGCACAAACAGTTACTGTATCTACACCAACAGTATGACAAAAGACTAGTGAAATAAGTAACAGGAAGTAAAAAAGAACAATGTTATATCAGAAACAATAACAAAAAAGTCACCCATGGTCTCAAACTTTATAGAATCATAGAATGGTTTAGGTTGGAAAGGACCTTGAAGATCATCAAGTTCTAACCCCCCTGCCATAGACAGGGACACCTCCCACCAGACCAGGTTGCCCAAGGCCACGTCCAGCCTGGCCTTGAACACCTCCAGGGATGGGGCCTCAACAACCTCTCTGGGCAACCTGTTCCAGTGCCTTACCACCCTCAAAGTAATCTAATGTAACTACATTGTTTTCAAGGATGCTGCTTTCTTACTGTCTTGCTTGACTTCAAGATTCCTACCCTTACGTAAAAAGTCTCTTTAAGAAAAAAGCGGCATTAGAGGAGCATAATCAAAAAACTGAACCATCATACTTGCACAGTTTTTCAGCATTATCAGTTAAAACGCGTTTGTTTCTTTGAGCAGAATTCTTCTCTCAGCATGGCTCGTAAGTCAGACTTCAGCACAATCTGCTCAGGCTATGTTTATTCTCTTGTTTTGAAAAAACAGGAGTAAAGTAAAAGTGTTCTCCTACAGTGGAGCTACGCTTAGAACCCTCCTCCCACCAGCACATGACATCATCCCCATGATTATTCCTACTTTCAGATAGGATCTCGGCTATTTTGTTACATTCAGCATATATACCATCAGACTGTGGGAAAAACAGACACTATGCAAAAAAAATCTTCACTTATCAAAACATACCGCTTTTCAAATACCAGCTAGAATATAAAGAACAACAATTACAAGTCCAATTATACACAAGTTCTCAGTAAAACCACGCTACCACTGCCAAAGCAAGCCATTTCTGTAGGGCCCTGTGTTGAATAAGAGCCAGTTCCTTCTGAGAAAGTTTTCTTTCTGCTCTAAAACTTCCAGGGAACTTTTTTTACTTATCTTAAAAGTGACATTTAAAGTTAAATTTGTGTCACAGGACAACATGCCTCAACAACCCCCGTCTCCCTTCACCCAGCAAAGGCCACACTGCAGCAGAACTAGTCCTTCCTATGCTGTTAAAGTGGCACAAACGACTGTTAAAGTGGCACTTTTCAACCTGGCCTGACCTAGGAGAAAGCACCTGTTCTTTCCTGCAAATAAACGATGTTCTCTTAAGCAAAGAGAGAGGCAAGAAGGATATAATCTTTAATACCAGTCTACACCTGAGTAGTATCAGACTTTCTTTCCATAGAGTCACAGAGACCGATGTCTTTTTCAACAGAACATCAGATTAATACTTTGACGTCAACACCAGAACACCACCACCACCGTCTGCATTCACATGGGAGACTGTCAAAGTTCTGCCACTGTGTGATATAAAGGGGAAGGAAAGGAGACATTTGCTGCTTCTTTACCAGTTATTCTTTGTTATGTTTATGTTAGAACACATACCCCAAGCCATTCCCCTGTCTTTCATACACAACTAGGAAAGGGGGGGTGAAACTTCATCTGTCCTGATACTGATTTCAGGAACAACTGACCAGTGCTTCCAAGCGTCAGAACTAGGGAGCTTTTGGATCACTTACAAATTCTCAAAACAGACATTAAACATTCAAAATACTTTTACCATCTCAAAGACTGGAGTAATCTTCTAGCTATAAACTTATAGCACCATTTAAGAATGACAGTGTATGTCCTCCTGGGTCAAAGCAGTAGATCAGCTAATCTCATTGTTCCCCTAATTATCTTTATATTTCATTCTGGACGTTTTATAATATTAATATTTAAATGTGATTTCAATCCCATTAGGATCTATTCAAGTATTCTACAATATAAGATTTTTCTCGGTAGCTCTGTGGAGGGAGGAAACACGGTGAGGCCATAAAAAGACAGACACTGCCTCAGGGAGCTGCAAAATTTAGGCATGCTTCATGCTCCCAACAAAGCAGACCTACTTCCAACTGCTTTCTAAATTTCCCCCAATCATCAAGATTGTCATTAAAAGACTCCTAGTGTTCACACTTAACTACCAGTATTTTTTCATGAACTGGTAAATTAAGACGTATCATAGAAGTCAACAACTTATATGGAAGCACTGATGTAAAATCTGAACTCGCTGTGAAGGAAAGTAACTTTGTAGTTACTTTGAAGTCCCATTTTTACAGAATTTATCATTATTGGCATGCTCAGCTCAAGACTGAGTTAAAACAGAATACTACTGTTGTTACGTTACCTCTAATGTATACGAATTTGAATGAACTGAGATATCTGTAGTAGAGCTCAAGAACAGCAGTATAGGAATTACTGAAGATAAATATAGCAGGAATTTCTACTTCAGGTCAATTTTCATTAATGCCTTACATCAGCCCTTCCTAAATGCAAAGATACATAGGTGGAATCCTGTAGTTGCTTCACAGCAACTGAACCGAAGGTGGAATACACCGCCCAAGGCACTGGGCAGGGTGCTGCCACTCCTTTTGGCAGCAGCCTGCAGTTATATCAGCTTAAGGTGATTAAGGAACCAGTCCCTGAGTTGGTTCCGCATCTGCAGATTCTTGAGTCACATCAGTTCAGAGCTGTGCCCCTGCTCCTGGGAGAAGGCTCGCCTGTTCACTTGGGAGTAAGGAAGGGCAAGGCATCTCGGGAACTGCTATGTTCATCTAACACCTAAGAATTTGGGGTACTGATGGAGGCATGCATATACACATTGGTTAAAATCCCCATCAGTCATCAATAAGTAACCAAAACCTGTTCTATACAGTTAATAATCCACTAATCTGATGACAAATCCTAATAAAAATTGTCTGCCTTTCTATTTACTTTCTGAAAGCGCACATTTACAATAGTTTGATAGTGGTCCCAAGACACCCAGGAAGACTGAATTTCAAACAACCTAACGGAAGGATTACTACATGACATCACTGATGCAGCAGTACACTTAAACTGGCAGACAGCAGGACCTAAACTCAAAACATGCAGCATAAAGGAGACGCATGGCAGCTACCTTGCACATGCCACTTCCCTAGACTAGTAAGACACCCTTCTGTGACAATACATTATCTCCAAAGATGTCCCTATAAGAGTAAAACCTAAACTGCCAGCTCTCAGTTTGACGACTCCGAAAGTCTTCCTCAGTCACCTGTATGAATCATTTGTACTGTAGCTATAACTAAAGTTGCTATTTCTGTCTCAATTCAGATGTATATTTCGTACAATTTGAAAAGCACACAGAATGTCGCTATACCATTTTGTTGATTGCACAGTGCTTATTATCACAGCAGCTAAATGCCTGTTATAAATACATTATATGAACAATTACACTTTTCAGGATGGTGACTGTGCATCATACAGCACAGTTTGTCAAAGTTACATTTTTGTAACTCAGGATAAAACATTAAAAATTACGAACTTTGAATTTCGGAGAACGTGCAAAAACTATGCCATGTATTTTAAAGGAACCATTACATACTATGCATATGCAGTGTTTGCCGTACCTGGACATTTTATGAAATACTACAGTTAGAGATGCAAGAAGTTCTCCTACGCTTCTCTTAAAACTGTTTTTCCTTCCACAGTTTATGCCAATTTGTTTCCTATTACAGAACATACTCTGCTCAGCACAGTCTTCAAGCACAAAACGTATTTTTCTTAGTTTTGTTTCCGAGTGTAATGTTCTTTTTTTTTTTCCTTTCTACATTTCTACATTCTTCAATTATTAGCCAGACTTAAAAAAATTCTTTTACTTCTCTCCCCCACCACAAATACACTAAATTTTCTTTTGCGGTTTGTTTTTTTGTAATATTTTTTTATGTTTCTTGTAGCAGGTAAGCAAAGGCACTGTTGTAAAAGGTCTTCCTCTGCTCCTGCCCACCTCATTCACCTGTTCATCCAAAGAAGCCAAGTCCCTCTACCTTCTCAGTGATGTACTCCTATTAAAATGCCAACATAAGCATCTAACACATGCCCTTTGCTTTCTTTATCCTGGAGAGCAAACACCAGCTGCGTAAGACATCCAGATCCTAAGTTTCACGGAGTGTTGCCATTTGAAAAAACTGAAGACATGAAGCCTGTTTCACTTCTTTTAAGCCTCTTCCCTTCAGGAGAGGGAAACTGCTACTTCACTGTCTTTGTTCCTTTTTCTCTGCTGACCTTCCCTCCCCCC